TTTTTACATCCTACCAATATGACGGGTACGTCTGGACAGAAACGGCGTATTTCCGGATACCACATAGCCTTGCAATTGCGCAACGATATTGGGCTGGCAATGGAGAAGCATAGCAGTACGACATCTGACCTGTAGTGGGAAAGTGAAGTGAAGTGTGTGAACAGTTTTTATTGTGCCAAAATTAAAAAAAAAAATACTCTTTTCATGTTAGTCAACTACTTACCGTCCATAAGCGAATCTTCGGTCCTTGTCATGATCACCAAATGTATCCCAGAGTCGTAACGAGACATTTACACCATCCACTACCTCCCAGGAGCGCTCAAGCACCTATAGCAGCATAAACGGTGTTTAAAACGTTGTCCATAATCAATAACTTATTAAATTTACTGTGATTGGGCAAGCTATAATTTGAGGCTTTCAATTTATTTAGGTAAATGGTAGGCCTAGGATTTCTTTGAAATACTATATTTCTCCTTCATAATTCCCTATTCCTAAAGAAAATTATTCAACTATTCTTTCCACCTGCCTATCTAGCGTTGGTCAAGCAAAGAGCAATACAATTGAATTCGTCCATATTCGAACCATTTAGAATTAGGAATTTTGAGTGTAATTGAGAGCTACGTCTGAGGAAGGTACTGTCTAAGGGTGGTATGACCCAGGCGAATGGACTTAAAGTGGCGATGAATTACTGGTGACATTCCTAGAAGCTCGCTTACATACTAGATGGAGGAGACAGCGGGCCATAAGACCAGCGCATGACTGAGCAAATTATTTGTCAACTGCATCCGGCTGAACTATGTATACCTGTACCAATGTCATGGACGACGGCACGGGTAGCCTCTTATCAAAAGCAGCCAGCAGCTGACACTTGCATCCAAAGGTTTATAGCTCTATTAGCCGTTCGTTTCCTATGAAGGCTCCTGAGAGGTTAATAGATTCGCATACCAAATGCAAAGGAGTGCCGTACTATCGCCATTAGCCTGGCGACACGCAGGAAAACAAGATACTCAAGAAAATGAAAGGAGGTCATGCTAAACTTACAGCCTATGCGTGTCTATCCAAGACTTAACCCACTCATGACCCAAGTACTTTTAAATCTAGTTAGACCTTTTAGCATAAATACGGGAAAAACAGACCTAGTACTCTTTACTAGGAAATATGTATAAGATTCCGGTCAACGTACAGTAGAGTGCGAAGAACGCCGCGGCTGCGGCTTAAGAAAAATTGGAATATGGGGCTCATGTGTAATATATAGACTGATTTTATTGAATTCTCATAATAAAATTTTAAAGCTTAAATGCATACATTGACGAGCAAAAGTATTGATACAGAGAATTTTTCGCTATGTATGCACACTTTTTTATTATAATTTGTGCAAAACTCAGGAAAATTAAATAAATTAGCATAGTAATGTGCAACTTTCTAATTTAATTGCCAAAAAACAATGCGATTTTTTAGCAACTTCAAAGTTGCACTTTGTCATACTAAAATTTAATGGGCTATAAAACTGCATACATAGAAAATCTGATTAGAAAGTAGCAAAGTAGTATGCAAATTTATGGAATTTTCCTGAGATTTTGCATAAAGTTAAGAGAATTTATTTTTATGTTCTTTGTTGTAGTAAGAACCATATTTTTATAAAAATTCAGTGAGAGGAAATTAGACTAAAAAAACTTTTCCAGGTCCATGAACTGTCTCAAATGCTTAGTAACGATCAACTATTCTCAGTTTGGCGAACTGTTCGCAGGCGTTATGTGTGCACGTATAATTTGGTAATTTGGAAGACATTTTAAATATACAAATGTACTTTTTGAACCTTTTATGGGCTATAAAAACTGTTCCCACTTTCAAAAACCTATTCTAGAGGATTCCAGTGAATTCAAGGTATGGGTTCGAGTGGCATTATAATTGTTCCCAGTTTAAAAAAATTTTTGAATAAGTTATATTTTATTATATTGTAGTAATTTAAATAAATTAATTAATTTACAAAGGCTCTAACCAACACTTTTTTGGAAACTGCATTTTTCACAGATTTGGGTAGGATATATTAAAATACACCTCCAATAAAAATTTTTAAGATTCTGTAACCAGTTAGCAATAATTTTCGAATCGTTATCGCAGTTTTTCACGTAAAAATATTCATATTATGCGTCCAAAAAGTGCGATGGAGATCCGAAAATTGTCGCTAACTGGCTACAGAATCTCCCCCTGATCAAGAAATTATTTTACTTATATACATACATGTTACAATCGCGATTCTAAAAGTTTAATAAAAAATATATTTATAATATATAGCTAATATTTCGGTCTACTTTTTTTAAACTAAAATAAGAAGGTACATTTTTTTTTTTAAATTTCTATGAATTTATGTACTTACATCCTTATAGATTCGATACTGATCGATGGCCCACACTGTAGGCACATGTGTCGATAGCAGCTGTGACAGCGAAACATGCTTATTGCATGCGCGTGCGCAAATTAAACGTGTCTTCCCCACGGCAGTATCACCGACCAAAACACACTTGACTAATTCCTGATGAGGCTGCTCGTTATCCATGTTGCCATTGCACGTTTAACGACGAACTGTGGACAAAGAAGCTGGCTAATGGCAATAAATGCCAAAGTTTTTGCGATCTGAAGGTCGCAAATGCGAGTGAGTTGAAAGAGTAGTCGCGAATGTTACTACAAGTATAGACAAGATGGACAGCCAGCACTAGGCGCGCACGCACACTATTTAAACGCGTACTCGTCCAAGTAGAATACGGCTATGAATAGATGAATTGATGGCTGAATTGAATTGATTGAAGCGCTTCTGAGTCGGATGTTGTTGCTTTTGTCGTTGGCTGAGTAGTTATTTGACTACTATTTATAACAGATTTTTCTCCTTTTTTTTGTGTTTCTGTTTTTATTTTTATTTTGTAATTGCAGGCAGGCTAATAATGGGCAGGCAGGATGACGACGAACGTACGTATGTATGTACGTATGCACTTACAAAGTAGTTGAGTAATTAGCAAAGCTGCAATGAGAACAAGAATAATATGATTAAATTCAATAGTTTTGACAAGTAGCATAGGCTGCAAAGGCAGAGTTAAAAGAATGAAATGTATGCAAATATCGTCATCATTAGTGAAATATGTAAATGCCCGCATTAGTGGAATTATGCGCTCGCTCGCTTGTATGTATGTAATACCTAACGGCCAGGCCACTACCGCTAGGCACCACATGACGTATGAATAACAATTTAGTGGCAATACAAAATTTTATAATATGCAATCATACGCCCAGCTGAAAGTCATACATATGTACATATGTATGTATGTATCCAATGAAGGTAAATGGGTGTGGAAATTTCTGCGAATTGTTATAGCGTGCAGCGTGTGTGATGAGTACCCAGTAAACAATTAGGTTTGGTATACATTTGAGAATGATTTGAAATCAAAGCCTTTCTCAAATGTCAAACGTTTGAAAATGATTTGATATTGAGTTGAAAATTGCAGCTTTCTCAATAAAAAGGGGAATTTGGACTGCATTTGAGAATATGGTTAACTCTCAAAACAATTTCAAAGGTTATTTATCAATTGTTCTTCAAATGTGGAAATAAAATTTATTATAGGAAATGTATATTTCATATTTATTTTTTCTTCGCGATGTACATAACAAAAGAAGCAATTAAGATAAAGTAATTTATAATAAATTCGTCTTGAAGGGCTGCAGCTTCTTCAATCCGCGCAAAGATCAAACACCCTATTTGTGGGCTTTCTCTTTGACAATTTTTTTCTATTCAATGTTTTTTTTTCAATTGAGCTTAATTTTATTCTTACAATTTTTGATTTAACTGCGAATTTTTATATCGTTTGATACTTGACATCTTTCTTCAAATCAACCTCACATGAATTTTAAATGTAGAATTTAAACCCCATTTTCAATTTGAGAATTATTTGTGAAAAAAATTTGATATCTAATTGAGATATACACTTTTCTCAAACGTTTGAAACCGTGTTTGCTGGGTAGGTGCACACTGTGTGTGTGTGTGGCGATGAGTTCTGATGCTGAGAGTACATACATATGTACGTAAGTAGGTTGGTGGTTAGTCCCACAGATTTGTATGAGCGTGTGATTTATTAAATTTAATTAAATTGTTTGAAGTAAAAACAACACAAAAACCAATTTTTTAAGTTTTTTTTTTAGTTTTTTTTTCGCCACGGGTATGCATTTATTGCTTTTTCAAACTACAAAACACACTTGGCAGTTGCCGTTTGCAGCCGGTTTTATGGGCCAAACAAAAAATAAAATCCCTAAAATAGTTAACAACTAAAAATGCAAGCGTATACACGAAATGTTAATAACCACCCCTCATGCGCGCAGGAAATTTAGGTGTTTTGCTAGTCAATTTTATAGGTTTTTGTATTGTATTGTACTTGTTTTTCGGGTGTTTAATTTGATGTCTGACAGCCGAAATTCCGCTTACGTATGGCGCCAGTCAGTGCCATTACATTTTGTGGCTCCACTCGCTGCTATTGTGTTTTTTTTTTTTGTTTCTACAAAGTTTGGTCGGGTTTTGATTTTTTTGTTGTTCTTTGATTGCTGAAATATGTTTGAAGTTAAGTAGTGACTATTTGTTGGGGATTGTTTTAAAAATCGTTGTTTGTTGCCAAAGAGCATAGAGAGTTCGTAATAGTTAATTATACCCGGCGCACGATTCAGGGAATTTGTGTAGAAAAAAAATCATTTTACAAGCGACTGCCTAATCTCGAAATTTTTAATTTAGAAGTCTAGACCACAACTCAGGCATCAGCTGATGGTGGATGAAATAAAGACCGCATCAATTAAGGCCACCGTCTTATTTCATCGGGGATCTGAATTCGTTTTGCGAATAAACTAAGACCGCAATGACTAACAGGACAATTCTGGCTAAGATAGTAAAAAGTTTTTCGTAAGACAAATGAAAGACAGATGGCAGGATAGTTCGAAAGACTTTTGTTATTCTAGCACAAAAGGCTTAGACAAAAAGCACGCTCACGCACGTGTGAACAAAGAAAAAAGGCTGATTATGGCAAATTAACTTGACTTAACGGAACGTAGAACTTAGAGAATCAAAATGAAACAGATTTCGACGTGGCATTAAGTTACGTTAAGTTTCGGCTGTTCAATTATAAGCAACACCCATTTAACAGAATTTTTAATAGACCAAAAGGCGTGCTATTCGAGAGATCCGAGTACGAGACCTCGGGCAGCAG